ATCCATTCGTTCCATCTCAGTCAAGTGTTTCAATCTGTTTCAAATCATTCAATCCGCTGCAATCATCCATCCGATCAGAACCATCCTTGCCGTTTCAACATCATCATTTGTTGTCTATGATCAACATGGATGCTTGATCCATTCATAACCAACACAACGGAGTGACGTTTAAAAGGAAGATCCTACTTAGGATCACATCACTACAACATTGATCTCGGTTTTTTTGGTAAGTTGATTTGGGTGGCTCGATCCACCTTGACATAGTTGTTCATCAATCTTTTCTTTGCATTTCTCCACAACACATTTTATTCTTTTGTCGGCAATCTCACCACTTTTTCTACTTAGATGTATATTTTCGATCAATAGCAATATAAGAGGCTCTTCCCCGCCGTTTTCAACCGTCTAATACAAAACAGAAACGAGAAAATTAAGAATGTTAGAAAATCTTAATATTTAACATAAAGTAGATATACCAACTTGTCTTTTCGTCTTTCGTAGGTTTTCGAACCGGTGTTGTGTACTGCAATACCATGACCACCCCACTCACTTCTTCGGTTTTTAGACTTTTTGTTTGTCGTGACTTCTACTTTCTCATCTTGCCACTTCTTGATGTGATTTTCCCATGTTGTATCTGACATGGACACTGTAGGATCCTTTCGGAGATTCCATTTATCCTTCCATTCGCACAAGTTGTTTGAGAACGATTTTTTCACTTTCTTATCAAACGCAGCCCTTACGGTTTCTGTGATACTCGATTCCCAATTAAATTATTGCTGCAAAATAAACGTAACTATGAATAAATACATAATTAATAAAAACTAAAATCACTACTTATAAATTAATTTACCTCAAACGCTCGGAACCATCGTGTTTTCACATCACTAGGAGATGATTCTAAGATGGATATGCTCATGGAAGATCAGATCAGATTTTAGCATCTTCAAAATGGCCCCATTAATTTCATCCGAGGAATTGAGGTCGAGCCTTCTGTATTAGGCATGGAAGTGGTTGATTGTGGTGCACTGCTGCTACTGGGCCAGTTTTTCATAGCCAAATAAACCTTAAATCTGGCATACAGATCTTCAGCAAAATTGGGAGTGTTGTCACAGTCACCGACTGGATGCAAAAAGTTCTCCCGAGACATGATCTACAACAACATAATTTCATGAGGTTAAAACAAATCCTTCCCGTAAAAGAAATCGATGGAAATACACAACAAAATAGAAACAATGAAATTATATCGATGGAGGCAAACAATAAAATGTCGGAGTTGGTTTTTTCACAGAAATTGTCACAATAAGATGCAAAAAGAATTTGTAAAAATGAAGTTCATAAGCGTTTACAAATCTCATAAATGATGTTAAGAAACTCCAAATCTTAAGAAGAAACAGATTCGAAAAAGAGATCTCCCTTTCTATGAAAGATTCGTATCTCAAATCGCACATCACTGAGAATGCGGATGAGAAGGGTGAAAGAGTGGTTACCGGATACAAAGGATAATGGCACTTGAGGAGGAGGAGAAGTCTGTCGTGAAGTGTATCGGCGCCGTTTTTTTTAGAGAAAGAATAAGTGAAGAAGAGAGAATGAGTGAATGTGTCGATCTAGGTTTAGGTTTGTTGTTTTAAGGGGTTTTTTGAAAAATACATAAGTTTGAGAATTTGAAAAATATATCTTATTTTTTTTTTTTGAAAAATACCTCTTTTCATAGTTGAAAAGACTTTTTTATCCACCTTTAATTTTAATATTAATTAATTCGTTTATATAATTGTTATTAATATTAATTTTCGTTTTTATTTATGATAAAATTTAATTATTGATTAAAAATTAGTTAATTCATATATAAAATTATCACTCATATATTTATTTTTTATTTTGAGATAAAACTGTATGTTG